TTTTTTTGTCCTAAAATTTTGGTGTAGGTTGCTAACATACTCCCACTAAAAAATAGGTGGGAATATATTAGCATTCCTCATATAAATATATATATATATATATATATATATAGAGAGAGAGAGAGAGAGAGAAACCCGTTAACTTCAGGAGTAAGTTTATCTAGACTTATTTCGTTTAATAACTCATGTTTTACATCAAATTTCAACGATACAACCATTGAATTTAAAGTTTTTAATACATAAATCAAGTCTGTAAATTTTTAGAAAATTTAAAAATCATTTGATACTTCATTTCATTAATTCAAGTTGACAAATAATCATAAAATTATTTTATATATTGATTTGAATTAATGAAACGAAATATCAAATAATTTTTAACTTTTTAAAAAATTTACAGATTTCATTTATGCATTAAAAACTTTAAATTCAACATTTGATCATTGAAATTTGATGTAAAATATAAATTTTTGAACGAAGTAAGTCTAAATAAACTTATTTTCGGAATAAATACATTCCTCCTCACACACACACACACACACACACACACACACACACACACACACACACACACACACACACACACTGTTCTTGTTAGAAACACTCCTCCTGTCCTCCTTGTTAACTAGTCTTCTAGATCCCAAGTGCTGGCCGAGTCCTGTCACACACACACACACACACACACACACACACATATATATATTGTTCTTGTTAGAAACACTCCTCCTGTCCTCCTTGTTGACTAGTCTTCTAGATCCCAAGTGCTGGCCGAGTCCTGTCTCCCAATAATGGGGGATCCCAAGTGCTGGCCGAGTCCTGTCACACACACACACACACACACACACACACATATATATATTGTTCTTGTTAGAAACACTCCTCCTGTCCTCCTTGTTGACTAGTCTTCTAGATCCCAAGTGCTGGCCGAGTCCTGTCTCCCAATAATGGGGAGGGTACTTACAAAGGCACTCCGACGCTCAATTGAGTATTCGGCATAGACTGTATTAAATAATCATAAATGTCCCATCAATGCCATATTCACTACAAGGAAACACCGAAATAGCTACGAAAAATAAGCGTTGGCTAATAGCTTACGCAAATATTATCGAAAAAGCCGACACTATTTTAAGATGTAGCGTCGACTTTTTCGACTCTAAATTTAAATTGAGTTTAGAGTCGAAAAAGCTGACGCTATTCTTTAAATATAGCATCAGCTTTTCTGAGTGTCAGAAAAGCTAATGCTATATTTAAAGAATAGCGTCGACTTTTTCGACTGTAAACTCAATTTAAATTTAGTGTCGAAAAAGTTGACAGTATGCGTGCTTTGAGAAAAAATAAAGATAATTTTCTGAATCTTCTATACACATATGTGTTGTAGTACATTTGGTTATCAAGCTCACTTAAGACATCAAGGTTGCAAGATCGAGTCTCGAGAATGTTAAAAATACGAACGAATAAATATAAGTTGAAAAAAAGAAGATAAAAGAAAAAATAAAATAAATTTAGTGTCGACGTAGTGTCGGCTTAACTGATAATAAAAAATTAAAATACATAAATTTATTTATTACCAATGGTTTAGTCGAGAAAAAGAATTGTGTCGACTTATTTAGCATTCGAACGACCGATAATATTTTTTAGCCGACTCTAATGTGAAACATTTTTGTAGTGATTTATGTGACGTTCTTGGATCTAATGGACTTTCTGAATTATTGAGCTGGTGTACAAGGTTTTGTACACTAATTACAACTGACATGAGTGTATTTAATGTAATTAACACTTGTTTTATTGTAACCCATGGATATTCATCATGGCCGAGTACTCATTTGGCATGTTCATTGGCTGAGAGGGTGTTTGGCCCGTTCCATGTTCAAGGAGGTATTCGGTCTTCCAAGTTCTTGGCTGTCTTTAATCTTGAGGACGAGTTCAATGGCTTTCGATCCAGTCTCGTCTCTAGCCGAAAGGGTTGTTCGGTGATTTTGGGAGCTGAGGGGGGTCTCGGCAGCGATGAGGGCCGGAGGGGTATTCAGCCAAGCCAAAAGGATATGTTTGGCATAACTAGTATATATATATATATATATATATATATATGCAAATG